TATATATATATATATATATATATATATATACGATAACACGATAGAAGGGCACAAAAAGACCAGGAATGAAAGACGTGCCACAGCGCACCCCGCAGAACCCACGATTCATTCTCCCTGGCGTCGCACCCACGTCACACACACACACGCAGGGGGGGGGGGGAAACGTCTAGCTCTTTCATCTCTTCTTCGCTACTTCCCGTTAGCTTAAAAACAACAACCTTTGGGATTCAGCCCACATAGCGAGCACGACACTCCCCGGGTTTATATATATATTGATTTCTTTCGTCATTCTCTTGTCGCCCCTCACTTGCGAGCCAGCATGCGCACCGTACTCTTCAGGTGCTTGCACACGAAAGCCTGCTGGATGGCCGACTCCTTCCAGAACTTGTACCGGTCCTTCGCGGAGAAGTGGCCGCTCTCCATGTCCGTGTTCAGCAAGATTTCGTTGCTGTCCGTCTTGTACTCCCGCAGCTTGCTGACCCACTTGGCCGGCTCCCAATAGGCCACGCGGGGGTCGTGCAGGCCGGACTGGATCATAATGTTGGGGTACTCCTGCGCCCGCACGTTGTCCAGCGGGCTGTAGCTGAGCATGTAGTCGTAGAACCTGTACTCGTTCGGGTTCCCCCATTCCTCCCACTCCCCGGTGGTCAGCGGGATGCTGGGGTCGCTCATGGTCGTCATGACGTCGACGAACGGCACGCCGGCCAGGGCAGCCTTGAAGAGGTCAGGACGCATGTTCAGCACCGCGCCCATCAGCAAGCCACCAGCGCTGCGGCCCTCGCACGCGAGCTGCGCCGGCGTCGTCATCTTCGACTCCACCAGGTACTCCGCCGCGGCAATAAAGTCAGAGAAGGTGTTGCGCTTCGTGAGGTACTTCGCACCGATCTCGTACCACGCACGCCCCATCTCGCTGCCGCCGCGGATGTGTGCCACGGCGTAGATCATGCCGCGGTCGCAGTAGGGCAGGTGCTTGATGTTGAACTGGGGGTCCATGCACAGGCCGTAGCTGCCGTAACCGTACAGCATGCAGGGCTGCGGCTGGCTCAGATCCAGGTCCTTGTGGTACACAATGGAGAGCGGGATTTTCGTCCGGTCCGGCGCCGTGGCGAAGCGCCGCTCCACCGTGTAGCTGCCCGCGTCGAAGCCGCCGCCGACCTCGCGCACCTTCACCGCGACACGGGAGTGGTCCCCCGGCTGCACATCGAACCACGTGTTGGGCGTCGCGAGGGAGGAGTACTCCATGCGGAAGGTCGGTGCCTCGTACTCCGCCATCTGCGACTCCACCAGGTGCACCGTGAAGATCGGCTCGTCCATCTCCACCTCGCGCAGGCCCGTGCCCGCCTTGAAGACGCCGTCCTGCGGGTCGACCGTCATGGTCCAGATCCGTGTGAGCCCCGCACGACGGCCGGCCACAACGAGGTAACGCGCCCGCACCACAGTGTTCTCCATAAAGACGTCCTCGCTGTGCTCGACGAGCACGCTGGACCAGTCCCCCGGCCGCTCGCGCGAGGCGATGATCAGCTTGTGGTTCACCGCGCCGCCCTCGTTTGTCAGGATGAGCAGCTGCGCGGTGCCGTGCATTTGGACGTCGTAGCGGACGCCCTTCTCGCGCGGGCGCACCGTCTCGAGTGTGTTGTACGCGTTGCCCTTCCGCAGGTCCAGCAGGTGCAGCTCCGTCGTCTCGGACGAAAGGGATCCGATGCAGAGGGTGTTGCTGTCGGCGGCCTTGTACATGAAAGCGGAGAAAAGCGGGTTGGGCTCCTCGTAGAGGCAGACGTCGGCGGACTGCGGCTGCCCCATCACGTGGCGCCACACCTTGTTGTCGCGCAGCGTGTCGTCCTTGGTGAGGTAGAAGAGGCTGGTGTGGTCCTTGCCCCACACGATGTCGCCGTTCGTGCCGGTCACCACGTCGGGCACCTTCTCCGCCTCGTTCGACACCTTTTTGAACTCGATCGTGTACACCTCGTTGCCGCTCAGGTCCACCGAGTAGGCCACCAGGTCGTGCTCCGGCGGCGCCGGCTCCACTTCCATCACATCACAGAAGGCCTTGCCCTCCGCCACTTGATTCACGTCGATGATCACCTGCTCCGCGGCGTCGTCGCCGGCCTCCTTATCCTTCGGCACACGGCAGTAGATCTTATAGGACTTGCCCTTCACCTCACGCGTGTAGTACCGGTACGGGCCGTGCACGTAGGCGGCGGAGGTGTCGTCCTCTTTGATGTGAGAGATGTGCTCGGCGTAGATCTCGTCGCGCAGGGACTGGATGTCCGCGCTGCGCGCCTCGAAGTACGCCTTCTCCTTCGTCAGGTGCTCGATTACCTCGGCGCTCTTGCGGTCGTCATCGCGCATCCAGAAGTAGGGGTCGTCGTGGTAGCGGGGCGGGTTCATCGGGTTCGGCCCGCGGTCCTCGCCCTCCACGTAGCCGAAGGTGACCCGGTGTGGCTTCTTGACCGCCACGGGGGGCTGCACCGCGTTGTCAGACGACATGTTCGATAGGAAATGAAGATGAAGAATGAAATCAAAACCACACACACACACACATACAAACAAACCACAAATAGACAAGCAACCCGCCACGCACTCTCGTGGTTCGTTTGATAAATAGATGTATGCGTAAAAGCCCCCTGCGTTTCTTCTCGTCCGCTGTGAAAGAGAAGGAGGAAAACGGAGGAATCACAGTTGCGCGAGCAGGTGAGACTGACAAACACAAATAAGAAGGACGGTTGATGTCTCAGCTGAGGCGAGAAAACACGTTAAAAGCAGAGACCAACGAATAAACACGAAGGCGACTGCTGTTTGAGCGCAATCGATAACGTGTGCGTATGTGTTGAGTCGTGTTAAGAAGACCAGATGATCCGCCGTGATGTACAGTCTAGCGTTGTTAAATGTTAAATATAAATATATATATATGTCTTATTGTACAGCGATAATAAGCTTAGGAGATAACGAGAGGAGATGAAGCAAGCATCAACATCTGATGCACCGCGCAGATGAACGTTCTCGTGAATGAAAGACAGGGAAAAACAAAGGAGAGAGGGGGGGGGGAGGAGGGGAGGGAGAGGTGACGCGTTCTTTCGTAAAGCGGGGCAGGAAAGGACATGCTACTCGTCGTTGTACAGCGCTCGGCTTTCCGCTCTTCAGACTACAGGCTTTTAAATACACACACACAGAGAGAGAGAGAGAGAGACGCATCAAGCTATTATTATGATAAACCAGCAAAGAGCTGAACACTCTTCGCATTCACATTAAAAGAGAAGTCGCACGTTTTCTTCTTTTTCTCTGTTCACTTGTCGCTCAGCTGGTACGCACGAGAGACAACGTGGAGGAAACAGCATATGTGCCGAACGCAAATAATAATAAAACAGCGGCACGTACACCGTAGAGGGCAGAGCTATACATGACGGCTAATAACCGTTACACTACATCCATACAGTACAATACAAAAAACCCACTCAAATACACGCACGCACGCACTCACTCACTCACTCACCCACAGAGGCACCGTTTAGTTCTTGCGCCGCGTTACGTGATCGTATAACACAACCTGTAAGTAATCTTTGCAGGGAACTACGGTGCGACTGCAGTTGTCACCCGGCGACGCGGCGTTCGGGTCGACGTGAATCGCCTTACGGTCCCGCTTGTGTTTCATGACGAGGCCGAGCTCACTATCGGCAAGCACCTGAAAGGTGGGGCTGTTGTTGTAGAAGAGCGTGTGCGTCTTCCAGTTGTAGTAGCTCAGGTCACTCCGCTTCGGCAGTAGCTTCTTCTCCTTGTTGAAGTAGGCTTCGAAGTTCTCGCTGCGCAGACGGTGGCCAAAGTCAACGTACGACGACACCTCCTGCCCGCCCACGTAGTCGCGAATAAAGATAACCGTCGCGAGCTTGCCGGTGCGGACAAGCTCCTCGCGCTTCGCCAGAGCAGCCAGCAGCGGACTGTCGCTTACATCTTTGCCGGCGCTGCATATCACTTCCGCACTTTCGCGGCGCTTCATCGGACCCGTGCGGGCCAGCTGCTGCGCCGCCTCGAACTCCTCACGGCTGAGGACGTCTTTGCCTTTGTAGCCGAGCTCGACAATCTTGCGCGCGGTGTCTTGGTCCTCGAGGAAGAAGAGGTCCTCGCCGGTGACTTGCTGATCTAAGTAGTCCTCGTACGTGGCGAAGTCTAGGACGTTGCGATCGTACCCCTCGGCGCCGGCGGCGGTGGTGGCCATTTTCTCTTTTTCTAGTTATATACTTTCTATTTTATGTTGTTTTCGTTGCGCACGTGATCGCACGTCGTTTAGGCGGATCACCAACTCTCTCCCCCCAACACACGGCAGTGAAGCGGCCACCGCGACGTCGAGGGTGAAGGGAAGAACCGCAAAGCAAAGTAAAGAAAGAAGAGAGGAGCGGATGAGGCAAAAGAGACGGATGCAGCCTCCCCTTTATTATGCTGCCCGGCGCGCATTGGCATGAGCTGGCTGAACGTATCATGCGTCACTTGTGGCTGCGCGCCACTACGTACCTGACCATGAGAGAGAACGAGAGAGAGAGAGGGACAACCGCCACGCGTCGGGTAATTCCCTCTTATTAAAAGAAAACAACGACGTGACCGGCGCCAATTGTGTGGCTGACACGGTCAGGAGCAGCTCTCAGACACAGCAGCAACACGACACGATATTCGGTGTTGGCTGTACGTGTGTGTACATGTGTGTGTGTGTGTGTGTGTGTATGTGCATGTGGCTCTCTCCCCCTCTAACTATATATCCTGCCCCAGTTGAACCTCGTTCGTTCCTTCTGCGTTCTTTCGTGGAGAAAAGATGTGGACATTCCTCGACAGCAACAAAGAAAGAAAAGAGGCGCTCCCACGGTGGCTTCCACATCGGAAAACACCCCCCCAAAAAAAAAAAACACACGGCGCTGGCGTACGAAGAAGGGGCAGAGAAAAGAAGGCGATAGAACCCAACCAACCTCATCCGCAGCCAGGACAGAAACCACCGCTACCACCGCCACCACCGTGATCGTGCGACAACAAGATTAACCGCGTCTCCAACATGCCTTATTGATGTCGCAAGGAAGAAGAAGACAGGAGACGACTCATATGGAGGTGAAGCGTGACACATCAGACAGGCCGGGGGGGGGGGGGCAGACGCGGTGGCTACGTAGACGTTCAAACAAACAAACAAACAAAAGCAACAGCCCCAACGACACCGCGCACGCGTCTCGTCTTCAAACTCAGCGATACGCGTTTTTTTTAAAATTATTTTCATTTTTCCCCTTCTCCGTAACGTACTCCCATCCGCTTCGCGTTTAGCAGCAGCAAGAACACCACGTACGTTGGAAGACCTCTACCCACTGCACCGCCATCGCCACGCCAAAGACGGAGGCTAACACTGTCTTCACCAGCAGGTGCTCATCCCACGTCACGCCAGGCATGACCGCGTTCACGTACACCGGGTTCTCGCTGCGATCCGTCAGCAGCGCGGCTGCCACCATGGCCACCGTCACGCAGCTGATCAGCACGATCATGATCAGTAGGGCAGCCAACACCGTCATCACCGCGGGCCCACCGCGCAGCTGCATGCGGACACAGCGCATCTTCTCATCGAAGAACTGGTCCTCGTCGGTCGCCGCGGCAGGACACTCTGCCTCTGCGGCGACGCTCGCATCGGTGCTGCCTTCCTTCTTCTTTGCGCTTTTGCCCCCAGTGAGGAACGGCGACGACTCGGTCGGGGAGTGAGAGGAGAAGGAGTCGTGGAGGCGACGACGATCGCGCTCGTGAAAGGCCATGCGCCATCGTGCGGGGTGCAGGACAGGGAACTGCACCCCGGCATTCGCGATGGAGCGCAGCAGGCTGCTCACGACAATTGTGTAGATGATGCCCGTGACCACGCCACACAGCTGCGTCGGCGGGTTAAAGAGGTGGTGCTTGCCCGTCCAAATCCACACCTTCCACAGCCAGTCTGCCACCTTTCCGGCGGCAGAGGCGGGGGCGGCGTTGCTGTTGGAGGGGCTCAGGCTGAGGCCCAGCACCGTCGCCCACGAAGAAGCCGTGCTGACGAACCACATCACACACAGCAACGTCGTCATGAGCACCACGGGGCACCAGCGGTTCATGATGGTCGCCAATCGCGGAATGAAGCAGAGCGGGACGAACAGAAGGGCAGCAGCGAAGAGGTAGAAGGAGGCGTGACGCTGCTGCGAGGACCAGCGGTCCATCGAGCCGGCAATGAGGCCGGCGTCCGTCGCCGTGTCCGCTGTGTTGCGCTTGCCGGTCCCGGTGCCCATCAAATCCTTCGTCTTCGCCGACTCCGAAATACTCGCCGCTTCGGCCGGCGGCGGCACGAAGACGGCGACGCCGGCCACCAGCACCAGCACCACGCCCGCCGTCAGAAGACCCACCGTCAGCGCACGAAGGTAAAAGCACAAGGAGACGTCGTGCCGGGCGGCGGCGAGCAGCTTGCGTGGCGACATGAACCTTGCGTTGGCGTGCGCGGCGCGCTCGATCAAATCACGAGAACATAGCATGACGAGTCCAAAAACAAAGGCGCCGATCGTCGCTGTCGTGTACACCTGCGCCCGCAACAGCTGCGCGGCGCTGTAGACGTAGTAGTTCATCTTGGGCAAGACAAAGCAGCCAAAGGCGTTGACGAGCAACCAGTTGGAGAGGAGGATCTGCAGGCCGACGTTCACGCCAGCCGCCACGCCGACCTCGGCGCTGACAACAGTGCTGACACCGCCCAGCACCAGCGCCTCCCCCGTACCGTAGACGGCCATGCCCAGCAGGGCCAGCGGCAGACTCAGCAGAGCGCAGCCGCGGCTGAAAAGAAGAGAGCCGGCGAAGAGCAGTGCCGCACCGAGGCACAACACGCCATGCACCAGCGTACCCACCGGGGTAGCACGCAAGGGGCGTGACATAGAGGCGCCGGAGAAGGAAGGGAGCGCCGTGTTGCTGGCCGTGTCGGACCCAGCTGCGGGGAGGGAGGTGGACGCCCAGTCTCCGGAGCTCGCGACAGATGCCGCCGCCGCCGTGTCACGGCGCCCGCCAGCTGCACCGACGAATCCAAAAAAGAAGAGAAACACAAGGCAGCCCGCGCCGAGGCGCGCGACGACGAGGAGGGAACTCCGGCCAAAGCGATTGCGCGTGGCGTAGAAGTCATCGCCCTCTGCGGCTTCGAACACGTTCACCGTGCCGAGCACCATGCCAGGGATCAGCAGCAGCACACAGGTAATGGTGAGGAGGAGAAACAGCAGGTACTGCCGCAGCACCGACGTCACCCACAGCCGCTGGAGGTACGGCAGGCGGTAGCGCTGGGAGGCAGCGGAGGAAGTCTGGCCCCCCACCGCGCCTCCGCCGTTCCCACCAAACAGCGTCGTCGTCTCGGGGGAGCTGCCGGCAGGGGGCACCGCCGCGCTGGTGGGCCCCGCCGCCGTCGTTGCAGAGGATCGCCCTGTTGTCGGGGTGCGGCCCAGCAGCAGCCGAGCCATCTCCTCCTCCGTCATCGACCCGGGCGGTTTACTCGTCGCCGCATCGCCCGCGACGTCCTCCCACGAGGGCACCACGCGCAGGCACGACATCTCTTCCAGGATGTTGTAGCAGTAGAAGTTCGAGTCGACCCAGGCGCTTTCACAGGCGAGGGCGACCTCCTCCTCGCGCATCGCGGCGATCTGCGCGGGCGGGGCGCGCCACCCTGCTGTGCTTGCAGCGGTGGTGGTCGTTGCACCGTAGTGACGGTAGCCTCCACCGCCACACTCTGCGAGGAACGACGTGGTGATGTCAGCATCCGGCGGAGGTGTGCGCAGCGCCGCCGTGACATCGCAGTTCTCCAGGTCTGCGCAGTGCTCGTGCAGGTCGGAGGGCGGCGGCGCCACCCGCAGCGTCCAGAAGAAGTCCGAGACGTCAACGGGCTTCTGCGGCGGCGACGGCGTACCACCGTGACCGGACAAAGACGACGAGCCGCCACTGCGCTGAGGTCGCGTCCAGGACGGCTGGTGCTGCCCTTGCGGTGGGGAGTAGGAAGGCGGAGGCGGAGGTGAGACAAGGGGTTGCGTGATCGACCTCTCGAGCTCAGCCGGCCCTTGCTGCTGCTGAGGCGGCGATGGCTCCTCCGATGGTGCGTTGTCGGCGCCGGTTGCTGCGTCTGGAACCGACTCCGACCGTGGCGTGGTGCTGCGCGCACGGGAGGCGGAGCTCGTCAACGAGGAGACGGAGCTCGGGGAGGCGAGGGGGGGATGCAGCGGTGGGCGGGCCGCCCCTTGCCGCGGTGTCACATCCACAACATCGTCTCCGCTCTTCGCATCGCCGTCTGCACGGGCGGCGGCCGACTGCTGTGCTGCCTGTAACGACGCCTGCAGCTGCTGAATGGTGTCGCGACTCGCCTCGAGCTCCTGCGCAAGACGAGCGCGCTCTGCCTCGAGGCGGCTCATCCAACGAGGATCGATGGCACCGGCAGACGCGGCCTCATAAAAGCTCTGCGGCGGCGCCGTCGCGAGAATGAGCTGCCGGTCGACGGACGTGAACGGGCTCATCTGCCCACTTTCGCTGCGAAGGGAGAAGCGGTCCGCCGATGACGGCGGCGGTGGGGCGCGCGGGTTCGGCGAGTCCATCCCTGCTGCGCAGCTCTCCGATCGCGGGCCCTCTCCTCGACCAGTTTTGATTCCGTTCGCCGCACGGTGCAGCAGCGTCAGGATGTCGAAGAAGTCGGTGTAGGCGCGAATGCGGGCGAGGTGCTCGTCGTGCTCCCAGACGACGCGGTAGGAGTCTTCCTCATCCAGCAGGACGGACACGGCGGACTCGCCCAGAGGAAGATGCGGGTTGGGTGTCGCGGTGACGGCTGTCTGCTCCTGCTGCCCGTTGTCGGGCTGGACATCGTCTTGCTCGTTAGTAGGCATCGTCGACATGACGCCCTACAGTACCTATTATGATTTTTTTTTTCCTTCTATGTTCTATCTTTGCGAGATTTCGAGGAGCTGGGCGGCGAAAGGCGTGGGGTATGTGAGGTGGCGATCATCCACGGTGGAACACGCAAGAAAGGGCCAAGGCAGAAACTCCCGCCGTTTTAAATCCCTACTTGTGTGTGCGTTGGTTTATGCGTCTCTCTGTGAGTGAGTGTGTGTGTGTGTGTGGAACACCGTAGCTTCGCGGTTGTGAAAGCTATCCCGCTGCTGCAGACACAGAGAAGTTTATGTCTCAAAACCGAAGATGGCAGTGAAGGGTGGATAGGATTTTTCTTTGCTTTTTGTTGAGTGATGAGTCGCCAGGCAGACGACGGAATAGTGCTGGGTGCGTGTACGAGCGCCGCTTTTCACAACTGCTGAGGTTAGTATGTTTGCATGTATGTTGATCTGCGCGGCAGAAGAACACGCGAGATGTCAACAAGTGAATGTGTGGGCGTGTACGAGAGAAGGGGGGAGGGAGGGGGGAGGAAGGAGGGAGGAAGGAGGGAGAGGAGGGTGTTCATAGTCTTTGGAACTCCACCTCACAGAATGAGACGAGTCACACCACATCTATCACACGAAAAACAAAGCGCAGGCTGAGCGGACTCGTCTCAGTTCCGTTGGAAGAGTTCATGCCCTTAAAACCACTGCGCCATCGCTTTCTTAGGTTGAGACGTACACCCGCATGCACCCGCACGCAACAGCGGAGCGCTCCTCGCGCTCTGCCTTTCTCCTCCTTTTTACAATAGCGAAGAAGCAGAAACTCGATGGTGAGGAAAGTTACGCGTCGGAGGTGAAAATCAAAAAAAAAAAAGCGCCGCTACGCATTACCAGCGGACTGCGACGCCAAACGGCCACCACAAAATCACACTAGAGCGAACGCAAGAGAGAAAGCAAGAACACCGTTGCAAACCAACCCAACAGCAACGGTGTGCGTGTGT